CAAGCTTGATCCTCTTGCAAAGTCCTCAGCCCTTTGAGAGGGACCCCATCTCTTTGGCCTCTGCCCCTCATCAACAGACTTCTCCCTCATGGCTGCCTCACTCAGGAACTTACTAGGGCACCCCACAGCCTCGGGTCCAAATGCCTCAGCCTGCAGTCATTATATCCCAAAGACTGGTAGAGAGGATAGCAGAGCAGGTAGGAGCCTGGGTTCTGGGGTTAGCCAGATATAGGTCCAATTCCCAGCTCACTGTGTGACCTTGGGTCATTCACTTCACCTCCTTGAGGTCCAGTTCCTTCAGCCATAAAATGAGGATAAATAAATTTGAAAACATCAAAATTAAGGATTTGTCCAGTGGAAAATTTGTTCAAAGGAAGGCACCACAGACCAATGATTCTCAAAGCGTGGTCCCTGAACCATCAGCATCACCAGAGCACTTGTTATAAACACAAGTGCTGGGACTTCCCTGGTGGCGCAGTGGTTAAGAAACCACCTGCCAATGCAGGGGACACGGGTTCGAGCCCTGGTCCGGGAAGATCCCACATGCCATGGAGCAACTAAGCCTGTGCACCACAACTACTGAGCCTGCGCTCTAGAGCCCGCGAACCATAATTACTGAAGCCAGCGCACCTAGAGGTCGTGCTCTGCAACAAAGACAAGCCATCCCAATGAGAAGCCCGCGCACTACAACGAAGAGTAGCCCCTCCTCGACCCAACTAGAGAAAGCCTGTGTTCAGCAACGAGGACCCAATGCAGCCAAAAATAAATAAATGCACAAATTTATTAAAAAAAAAAAACGCAAGTGCTAAAAACAAACAAACAAACAAAACCAAAAACGCAAGCTCTTAGGTCCCACCTCTGTTCTGTTGAGTTAGAAACTCTGGGGTGGGGATCAGGAGATTCTGATAAATGCTGAAGTTGGAGAACCACTGCCATAAATAACAGATGGGCAATGCACTAGGAGAAGATCCTTGTAACAACAATATGCAAAAAGAGATGGATATCTAAAATTTATAAGCTACTCCTACAAATCAACAAGAAAAAACGGGAAATCCAGGAGATAATGGAGAAAAGATATGGACAGACAATTCACTGAAGGGGAAGCCTAAATCCCTGACAAGTATAGGAGGTTCTGAATCTCAGGATTGACAGAGAAATGCAAGTTAAAACAACGAGATGTCATCTTACACCCAAAGTAGGCAAAAGTTACAAAGTCAGATAATGTAAAAGTTGCTGAAAATGTGGGGAGAAAACATCCCCACATGCTACTAGTGGAGCCATCCTAGCAGATTTTAGTGAAAATTAAAACAGAGATGCTCTATGATCTAGTAATTCTACTCTTGGGTATAGAGCTCAAAGAAATTTTCACACAGCCCCATAAGGGTCATGCACAAAGATGTTCATCACGGTGTGGTTTATGGTAAGAGGGAACTGGAAGCAACCTGAGTGTCCATCACTGGGGGAATGGATAGATAAAACAGTGGATGCTCAGCTTGGAATATTTTGCAGTGGTTAGATGTAATAATTTAGGTTTTTACACAGCAACATGAGTAGATCTTTTTTTTTTTTTTTTTTTTTTTTTTGTGGTACGCGGGCCTCTCACTGCTGTGGCCTCTCCCATTGCGGAGCAACAGGCTCCGGACGCGCAGGCTCAGCGGCCATGGCTCACGGGCCCAGCCGCTCTGCGGCATGTGGGATCTTCCCGGACCGGGGCACGAACCCGTGTCCCCTGCATCGGCAGGCGGACTCTCAACCACCGCGCCACCAGGGAAGCCCGAGTAGATCTTTTTTTAAAAAAAATAAATTTATTTATTTTTGGCTGCGTTGGGTCTTTGTTGCTGCGCGAGGGCTTTCTCTAGTTGCGGCGAGTGGGGGCTACTCTTCGTTGTGGTGCTCGGGCCTCTCATTGCGGTGGCTTCTCTTGCTGCGGAGCATGGGCTTTAGGTGCGCGGGCTTCAGTAGTTGTGGCTCGCGGGCTGTAGAGCGCAGGCTCAGTAGTTGTGGTGACCGGGCTTAAGTTGCTCCATGGCATGTGGGATCTTCCCGGACCAAGGCTCAAACCCGTGTCCCCTGCATTGGCAGGCAGATTCTAAACTGCTGCACCACCAGGGAAGTCCCAACATAAGTAGATCTTAAAAACATATTATGGAGTGAAAAAGGAAACAACAGAATGAGATCCTTATACAATACCATTTACATAATATAAACACACACACAGAAGACATTGTACATTTTACGTCCAGGGATATATATCAACACATAGGGGTGGGTGCCTATTGTAGGGAGGGGAAGGATTGTGGGGATGTGTGGATGGAGTTCGGGGAATATAAAACAAAGTAAGACATCAGAAGGGACTTTCATGGATCAGTTATGATGGGATGGTCATTTGCCACGAACTGAGTATAACTCATGGAACTCTCTGGATCTGAAGCCCTAATAATAATAATGATATTATTTTAACAATGGTGATAATAGTACCTACCTCACGGTAAGTGACCTGTGTCTGGCCATGGAAGGCCATGTAAAGTTCTACAAATAAATTTTAGCTCTTCTATGCAATTCTCTTGCCTCTTCTCAGGGCTTCTTTCTTTCAGCCTCTGAGCCTTTACTGAGGCTGTGCTGAGTCCTGTCCTTATGCTGACTTCTCTTCCCCTCCAACCCTGTCTTCAGACTTCTTTGACTACCCCAGATGCGACGGCTTGTCTGAGGAATCTTGGGTACTTTTCATTTGGGCCTCGAGCACAGAGCCAGAGCTGTGAGGGGCAATTCCTATTTCCTCCTCCCAAACTGTGAGCTCCCTGAGGGTCTTCTCACCTCCACCTCAGTTCCTGTCCCATTGCACACAGGTAAAGACGGGTAAACTGAGTCAGAAAGTGTTCAATGTGGAAGGGAACAGCATTTATTGAGCACTTATCATGTGCTAGATCCAGCACTAAGGTCTTGACCTTCAGTCATCCCTATGACCCCCCTGTGAGGTGGGTGGGGCCGACTTCATGGTCAGAAGAGGAAATGGAGATGCAGAGAAGCTAGAACTGCTACCAGACAGGAGACCTAGCCTGTCTGGCTCCAAATGCAAGATCTGAACAAGCAACCTGTTCAGAGCCTTAGGGCCAGGACTGGGACCCAAATCGTCCACCTCTGGGTTGACTCTCAGTAGAAAGAAACCTCTATTCCACACTAACGATCTAATTCCACCTGCAAAGGGGAGACCCTGCCTCTTAGAGCTTTAAAAATACCCTCTACACCATTTAGTATGGTCAGTTTGAGGTAATATCTAAGGGGAATCAGGAGACTCCCTCAAGTCCCTTCTCTCGAACCTGTTTCTCAAACTGTAAAATAAGAGGAACGGAGGTCTTTGGGCTCTGAGAATTATTTTCTCAACCGGCCAGCAGGTGGAGCCCACTCTTCATCCCTCCCTTGGTCTCCAGAAAGCTGCGGAGTCCCGAGGAGGAGGGAGAGTCCAGAAGCCGAACCCTCGGGGCTAGTGGGACAAAGAAGTTCGCAGTCCACCCCAGCCGGCCTAGGGGCTGCCAAGTCCCGGTTAGGATCCCGCCCCCTGCAGGACATTCTAGGTACTGCAGGGACCGGAGCCCCGGGAGTAGGGACAGAGACCCCGGGAGGGTGGAGCCCCGGCTGGGGGTTTGAGGAGGAGGTCTGGGGATGGGGTCCCACAGGCAACGGTGAGTGAGACTCAGAAGCGGGGTCTTGGGGCCACCGCCTTCCCCGCCCTCCGCATGGGTTGCGGCACAGGCTACAGGTAGTTGTCCTCGGCCGCGTCGCCCCCACTCGGGGAGCCCGGGGCTTCCTCGTCAGTGCTTTCGTCGTCGTCGTCGTCGTCGTCTGGGGCCAGCGCCTCGATGTCGTGCGTGATGTCGGCCAGCAGCCGGTGGAAGGCCTGCGCCTCGGGCCGCTGGGCCGCGCCGTCGTAGCTGCGCACGGCTGACGCCGACGTGGAGCTCATGCTGCGTTTGATGCGGCCGAAGCTGTCGGTGAGGATGCCGCCCTCGCGGATGCCCACGCCCTCCAGGAAGCCCTCGAAGTAGCCGATGTCCTGGTCCGGAATGAAGGGCCGCATCCCTGCAGGCCGAGGGGCAGGGTGATTCCTTGGGGTCAAGCCTTCCCCTCCCACGGAAGAATCACAGGAGGAATCACCTTCTCTGGGGAGCGGAGTTCAAATCCCCACCCTGCCGCTCGCTGGCTGTGTGACCTTGCACAATTCCTGACTCTCTGAGCCAGAGAATAACGGCATAATGCTCCGCACGCAATAAATGATCACTACATGTTAGCTTATTATTGTTATCATTATTATTATTACATTCCCATTTATTAGTCGTGTGACACCCCTCCAATAACTACTCTGAGCCTTACTTTCCTGCCCTGTAAAACGGAGATAATTACACCTGTTCTCTCCGTAGGGCTGTGAGGATTAAATAAGGTACTTAACACACAGAGTGCCCCATTTGACTTCCATTTTACTTCTGTCACTACTTATTAGCTTTGTGACTTGTTTATGTACTTTGCTTCTCTAAGCCTCAGTTTTCTCATCTGCAAAATGAGGGCAAATCATAGTTTCAACTTCCCAGAACTGAGGGCGTTCAATGAGATGATCCTTGGCACCACACACGGTAACTGCCCAATACATGTTAGCTTATTAAGATTATCGTTCCTGTTGCTGTTATCACTAGCCCTCCTTACTAGCTCTGTGACCTTGGAAGAGTTCCTTAGCCTCTCTGAGCCTCAGATTCCTCATGGAGTAAAATGGGAAGAATCATATCCTCTCCCAGCTTTGCTGTGAAGGTGAAATGGTTACACCTGTGCTCTCTCTCCCGGCTCTGACTGCAGGCAAGTCTCTTCCCCTCTCTGCACTTTGGTTTCCCTGTTTGCCTCATGGATCTCATGATGTCGGCTTTATGGGAGGCCAAGGGATAAAGAGTAAACACTCCCAGCCTGGGCAGGGGGCTCACCAAGCAGGAGGAACTTGCGCTGGTCTCCGTAGAGCTTCAGCAGGCCTGCGCAATAGTCCTGGATGGGCAGCCCCAACCGGTAGTCCCGCAGCAGCAGCGCAAACTGCTGGATCTCAGGGGGCCCCAGCTTACTCCGCAACTGTCAGGGACACCATTCGAGATTAATGCCAAGAGCAACCCCCAACCAACCCCTGCCTAAAAGACCCAGAGCCCTCGCTAAGGGTGTATCCAGCCCAGCCCTCCTGTGAAAACCCAGCCTACTGGGGGACATCCAAACCACTTGGGCTGCATCTAAGAATGGGATGTGGACTCAGGCTGCCTGATTTCAAATCCTGGCCCCTTCACTGACCAGCTCTTTGATCGTGGGTAGGTGACAACCTCCTTAACCCTCGCTCTCTTCATCTGCAACGTGAGGAGTGAGGATAATGAAGGCATTTCCTTCTTGGGTTGTTGAAAGGATGAAAAGAAATGATGCATTAAAGGTGCTCAGAACCATGCCTGGTATAAAGTCAACACTCAATGCTAGTTGACATTACTTAAGGCCTTCCACAGCTGACTCCATTTGCTCTCCTAACCTCATGCCCTGCCCTGACCTCTGAGGTCTTATGCTTCAGTTATGTCCAGGATTATTCATGATGCCTGAAATACCCCATGTGTTCTCCAGGCCCTTGCTTATGCTGTTCGCACTGCCTGCCCCAGCTCACCGTGACCATGTAATCCTGCAACTGCTCGAGGCCCAGGCTGCTGTGGTCGCTGCCGCTGCAGTGGGAGCCATGGAAAGAGGGTGTGGACGTGCCGCTGTAACAGGCTTCAAATGTGTCCTGGGAGCCATTGCTGCAGAGACGGGGGGGGAAGGGGCCCTCACTCGCCTCCCTCCAGCTCCTCTCCATGTGGTAGGCTGAAGGTGGGAGGGCGCAGCCACCAGTGCTCTGGGCCTGGGGCCTCATCCTATATCCCATTTTGGCCTTCGAGGCCCCATATGATCTGGCCACGCACCACCTCTCAAGCCTTGTCTCCCCCTTGCTGTTTGTGCTCAGGTCACCCTGCCTTCTGTCTTTTCTTCTAATACTCCAAGTACCTCCTCACCTCTGGGCCTTTGCACATGCTGTTCCCTCTGCCTGGAATGCCTCTCCTTCCCTGTCTCTTGCTCAGCTAACTCTTCCTCACCATTGGATCTTAAATGTCACCTCCTCAGGAAGGTTTTCCCTGATCCCTCTAGAATGGGTTAGACCCTCTGTCAAATGTGGTCACAAAGTCTGTAAGTCTACCCGTGACATGAAGCCCTTTCCGATGCCCCCACCAGATCTCCTCTCTAACCACTCTGTCCTTCACATCCTCTGCTGCAGACATAGTGGCCTCCTGGCTGCTCCTCAAACATGCCAACTGGATCCCGCTTCAGTACCCTCGCACTTGCTGTTCCCTGTACCTGGAGCGCTCTTTCCCCTTTTATTTGTCATGTCTCAGTTCAAGTGTCATCACCTCGGAGAGGCCCTCCTGACTCCCCAGATGAGGTAGGGTTTCCACAGCCTCTCTCTCAGCACTCTGAGCTTCTCTTGAGTGTTTATTATTGTTGATGCTTATTATTACTAAATAATGATTTCATTGTCTCCTGTGCTACCTTGTAAACCATGCAAGAGCAGGGACCTGGTTTTCTCTGTTTGTTGAGTACCTACTATGTGCCAAGCACAGGCTTCGTCCTTGTCTGGCTCCCCACTGTATCCCTAGCACAGAGCACAGTGCCTGGCACAGGGTAGGTACTCAATAAATATTGCTTAAATAAAAATCAACCTTGGGCTCCTGCCTCCTGGTCTCTACATTGTTCCAGAACCATCTTCAATTATTACCTCCAGAGAAGCAGTGTAAACTTAGTGTGGACTCTGGAGCCAGCCTGTCTGGGTTCAAATGGCAGGCCTACAACTTACTAGCTGCTTGACCTTGGGTCAAGTTACTTAACTTCTCTATTCTTCAGTTTCTCTATCTGTAAAATGGTATGTTAAAAATTGGTGTCATTGTAAGAAACAGAGGAGTTAATATTTGTAAAGTACTTAGAGTCATGGACTAAGCAGTAAATAAACAGTAGCTACTATAATGTTGCTATGTTGATTTTTAAAATGAAGTGTATTATAGGATAGCACTTGGCAGACAGCAAGTTTTAAGTTAGTCATTGTCATGACTGTCATCTCTCTAGCAGATAGCAGGTTGTTTAAGGACTGGCCTAAGAGTGCACAGTATTAAGCAAGTATATTGCCGCTGAAAAGGGTGGCGGGGGGAAGTAAGGCCTATATCATTGGCAGAGGCTGTCCCTTGTCAGCCTTAATAACAGAAAGCCAAAGGCCTTAGTAACAGAACTAAGGCGACCAACTTGTCCCAGTTTTTCTGGGACTTTCCTGGTTACAGTACTGAAACTTCCATGTTTTGGGGAACCCCTAAATCCTGGGCAAACTGGGGTGGTCAGTCACCCTAAATAGAACCCTGGACAACGTTCCCAAATGAGATTTTTTTTTTTTTTTTAAACCTACATTTCCCAGACTTGCTTATAGCTAGTTATGGCCATGAGACCAAGTTCTGGCCAATGAGATGGAAGCAAAAGCTGTGAGGTAGGAATTGTAGCAAAGCTCTTTCTTTAAAGAGATTCCTCGTATGCTACTGTGATGGCTGGAACTATAGCCACTATCTGGGCCCATGAGGTGACCTTGAGGACGGAAGCAAGTGTTAGAGAGGGAGGAAAAGATAAGCCTGAGCCCTTAATGACCATAAGGCCATAAACTCCTTGTCTATTTTATGTAAGAGACAGGGGAAAAAAGCTTTATCTTTTTTAAAGCTACTCTTTTTTAGGATTCTCTATTCCATAGAGCCAAAATGACTTTTGGCACTAGCTGTGATTTTGGCCTCTGCAGGCCACTGTGTCTGGATGACTGGGAAAGGGCCACAGGCCCATGTGGACCTAGTTCTGAGTTCTGGCTGCCCTGTCTGTTTCTCAGTGGTTCAGATCCTATAAGCTCACCAGAGCCTGGGAAGTTCAGGTTACCCGCACCCTCAGGGCCTAGCATCTCAGCACAAATCAAGATGGAGTCACTTTCTCCCACCCTCTCTTGCCCACAAGGGCTCAAGAATGCCTAGATGAGCAGGGACAGAGGGGACCAGAGTGGGGTCCCTGAGAAGGACGGTACCCACAAGGAGCTGCAGCAGCTGAAGTCGGCGTCATAGGCGAAAGTCCCATCCGTGTGGCAGCTGTCACCTGGGGGCAGCAGACAGAGGGCGGTCAGAGGCAGCAAAGCAGGGACCAACATCTCTGGCTCCCTGAGGCCCCAAGCTCAGCCCCACCCTGGAGTAAGGATGGCGGCTGGAGCGCGAATGGCCTTGTCAGTAACTGTATGGGTGTTAACTTTCACTCTGAGTGAAATGGGCAGCCACTGGAAGTTTCTGACCATGATTCCTGCCCCCACTGGCAACACAGAGCCAACCTTGGGCAACGCACCTCTCCTCTCCTGGCACTCAACTTCCCCAAGGTTGGGAGAATACCACCTTCCTGCCCACCTCAGGGGGGCCTTGGGGAGAGCAAGCCAGGGAACAGGCAAGGTAGCGCTTTGTAAACTGTATATGTTTGAGAGAGAGAAAAAAGAACTTTGAGCGCAAGGAGCTCAAAATCATGAGGAGAAAGGAGCACCAGGTACAGAGAGAGTACCTGTACCTGCCCCTGTCATCTCAGTGAATACAGCTACTGGCCTCCCGCTGCCCATCGTGGCTCACTTAGTGTCACTTCCTCAGGACACTCCCCTGACTTTCCAGGCCCCGCTGGTTCCTCATTATACATCCTCATAACACAGTGTGTGGTTACATTTTATTTGTGTAACTATTTAATTACTGTCGGCCTACTCCAGCACTGCACGTCTCAGAGGGAGGGCCACATCTGGATTTACTCGTCAGTACATCCTGGTGATTAGCAGGATCCCACAGACAGGTGTTCAAGAAATACTTGTTGAATGAATGAATTTGTTGAAATATCAGTTGAGTTATCTCATTTATTTGTCCATCATCCCTGGGAGAGTCAATGAACGTTCCCAAATTCTCAATAACCACAGTTCCCACAGACGTGAGAACTCTGTGAGAACACAGACGTGAGTGCCTCCAGAAGGAAAGAGCTGGCTCCCCGTTGCCTGAGCTACGCAAACAGGGACCCCGCTCAGGGGGCTGTGGCTGAGGAAGTTCACTTAGTGGCCCTGAAGGCAGCATGGGGAGTGAGGCTGTTGCAGATGGAAGCCTTAGAATCACATGCACCTGGGTTTGAATCCTGACTCTGCCATTTACCAGCTGTGTGACCCTGAGATATTTATTGACTACTCTGAGCCTTAATGTCCTCATCTGTAAAAATTCTATTCATAAGGCCTCAGAGCGTTCTTTCATCCATTCAGAAAATACGCCTTGAGCATCCGTCCCTGGTCCTGTGTTAGGCACAGGGGATACAGCGGCAAGCAGGACAGACAAGGTTGTTATGAGGATTAAATAAGATTCGGTACATCGGCCCTGTGCTTGGCACATAGTTGGTGATCAACGAATACCTCTATTGGTCTCATTCTCATTCCAGCCCTTGATGGCATTCAAGGACCAGTCTGGAAATCTTGGTTTTGACCTAGAGTCCTAGTGGGACTAGATGGCTCAGTAAACTGACAATGCATGTGCTTAGGTTTTGGCAAAGCGGGGACACCAAAAAACAAAAGGGAGAGAGAGTTCAGCTCTGAGGGTCTCGTTCTGAAACTACGTTTGAGGTCATTATGAAATTTGACATTTTATTTTAGCGACATATCGGGGGTATGCTGTAATTGCTGTAGAAGTCAGGACCCCTAAGGGCTTTCATTGGTCCCAGTCATGGGACATCCCCCCTCCTCTGGCCTTTCAGGACGTTTCACAGGAGGGGCCACCAGGAGTTGGAGTACTCACTGCGGCTGCAGAGCCACGGCCGTTCGGGCGTGGACGTGTAGTGGTAGCCGGCCCGGTCCACGCACTCAATGCTTTGGTCCCCGTAGATGATCTGGAAGACCTGACAGATGAGGGCGCAGGACTCCTCTGCAGCATCCTGGCCCAGAGAGGAGGACAGAGCTCAGGCCTTCTCCGGGGACCAGGATGCCCCTGCTTCCTAAAAACGCAGTGTGAGGAGGCGCACGAGGGCACACACACAACTATGGGAGCCTTTAAATTGACTTTGAGGACATTTTTTCATCAAAATTATATGGCCACGCTCTGGGTGGCCTTTATAGAAATAGCCACTCACTGGCCTTTACAGAATCCAGTGACAAACGTAACTCTTCTGCCCTGAAAAATGCACACATGCACCCCAAATTTCTGGGAGAATTATGGGGCCTCCTGAAGCTTATCTAAAATAAGCCCTAATTTAGTTTAATTTACACATAGGAAGCTGAAGCCCAGAGACGTAAAGTGACTAGCCAGGACTAGAGCCCAGGTCTTCTAATGCCTAGTAAGAGGAAAGGAAGAATTAACTGTATGAAAATGTTAGGCTCAGCAGAGTTATTACTGCTCAACATAGTTACTATGCCATATTTAGATATGAGCTTCCTGGCACCCAAGGCAAAAATGGAAGCAGGATGAACTCATAAACTTCAGTCCCTGATAGAAGGAAGGCATTTAAGTTCTTGGGTGCAACTTTTTTGAGATCGCAAATTTGAAGAGGAATTTGCCTCTTTGATTTTACCTCTTTCAGTCTTTAAGCAAGAGACACGGAAAGACAACAACTAATGAAGAGACCAACTTCATGAAGCCACTTATATTGTACTTCTAAAAAAGCCAGTCCAGGGAGTAAATTAAAATGTAACCCAGGACAGGCATTTTGGGATGAGGGAGTGAAATTATCATTAAACCAGGATTGACCCTTATAATAGCTCTACCGAATGGACAGGGAAGAGGGCATCCTTATTTTATAATGAAAGACATGGAGGCTTAGAGTGGTTAAGTGACTTGCCCAGGCTCACACAGCAGGCTCATGGCTTTGGTTAATACTGGCACCCAGGTTTTTTGACTCTAACTCCTGTACCCTCCTTGGGACCATGATGCCTCAGACTGGAGGCCAGAGGCTCAGTTACTCCTAGAAAACAACCCTTATTTACTTACTCATTCCACAAATTATTATTTAGTCCCACTGTGTGGCAAGCACTGGGCCAGGCTGTGGCGTCTCAGAGGTGAATTCGATGAGGCCTAAAGCCCTCACAGCCCAGTGGGATGAACAGGGTACACTGTTCCCTCTGCCTGGCATTGGCTTTCTTGACCCTTTGCCCTGCTGCTTCCTTCTCTCTTACACTTTTCAGTTTAAAAGGCACAAACTCACTTTCCCTCTGGAAAATGGATCTCGTCCCTCATTATCATTGCAACCTGCTTTTCTACTTGGTCCCCATCACAAGGTGTAGTAACATAGTACCCACTAATCCATCTATTCAGTATATTTATTGAGCACCTATCATGTGCCAGGCACTGTCCTGGGGGCCGGAGATACCACAGTGAACCATCCGGAATGCACAGATGTCTTGAGATGAGGCTAGAGAGGAAATGAGGATGGTGGCTAGGCCACCATTATAAGGTAGATGGCCTTATAAACAGTTGTAAGGACATTAGATTTTACTCTGAGTGAACTGGGGAGCCACTGAAAGGTTTTGAGCAGTGACACGATGTGACTTTTGTGTTAACAGGGCTGCTCTGACCGTGTGGGGGAACAGATTCTGAGCAATGGCCAAACCAGTGAGGGGTGAGTGAATGACCCAGATGGGGGAAGATGGAGCATGGACCTGGGAGGGGGGGACAATGGAGCATGGAGAGTAGATGCACTTTGGTTATATTTTAGAAATAGGGCCAACAGGATTTGTTGACAGAGTGGATATGGGTTGTGTGAGAGACAGGAGCCAAGGAGTGCTGCAGGGTTTTGGTCTGAGCAATGGAAGGACAGAGCTGCCATTCATCAAGAGAGGGAGAGCAAGGGAGGAGCAGGTCTGGGGAGATGACTGGGAGCTCAGCTCTGGTCGTTAGACCTTTGAACGGAGAGGCTGAGTGGAGACACAGACGTGGAGATTTGGTGGGAGGTAACATTTGGGGGAGTTCTCACTAGAGAAGGCCACCTAGAAATGAGTGTAGAAAAAGGAGAAAGAGGATCAAGGACTAAGCCTGGGACAGTCCAACCTCAAGAGACTGGTGAGAAGAGGAGGCGCCAGCTCTTGAGAAGGAGCAGCCAAGGAGGTAGGAAAACCAGGAGAATGTGCAGAGCTGGACACCAAGTGAGAAAATGTTTCAAGTCAGCACCAGAGCCTGAGTTTACTGGTTACTATCCACCTCTCTCTCTAGAGAGGCACCGTGTCTGTTTTGTTCACCATGTGGGGTTTATATATAGAGGGAGTTCAGGGCCCTGGGCCAGAGAAACAGCTTACAAGGCTCAAGGTTTGGAGGTGTCTGCTAGATGGTGAGCTCCCTAAGGGAGGGCACTAAATATGTCTTTGTTCATCTCGGTATCCATGGCACCTAGCCCAATGCCTAGCACAAGCTGGCACTCAGTGAACATGGTCAAATGAATAAAAGCAAGGGTGAATGTGGAGGATGGGGGGGGGGCAAGAATGGCCAGAAGTCTTCTGCCTTGGGTGATGGCCATTGTTACCAAGAGTACAGGCTCTGAACTTCTGGGTCCCAATGCTGAAATCACCACCTGCTTCCTGTGTGACCTTGCACAAGTTGCTTAGCCTCTGGGTCTGTTTCCTTCTCTATAGAATGGGAATGATGGTAATATTTGCCTCTAGGAGTTACTGTGAGAATGAAATGACTTAATGCTGGTTTCCTGTCTGGCACAGGTCGGCACTGAATTCGTGCTGGTGATTACTGTCCTTATGATTGTTACTGTGGTAGTGTGGACATGGACGACTTTGGATAAGGAGCAGGGCTGGATGAGGAGTTAGATCAAGTCTGGGCCATTTTGAGCTTTCATCCCATTGGGACAGCAAGGGGGAGGTGTCCTGGGGCTGGAGTAAAAGCCTTTTGGCGTCAATGGGCACACAGTTCTGAAGTTCTGGGCAGTAGGGCCGAAGGAGGGAAAAGAAAAGGGGCTGGGGTAGACTCCAGGAACTTAGTATGTGTGTGGGGGGATGAAGACGCGCCGGGGAGGCAGGGCGCAGGGGCGCGGGATGCCCTCGGGCTCACCCTGTTGGCCACAGCCAGGATGACCAGGTTGCAGTAGGCGTCCGGGCTGGGGTCCTGCGGGTCGAGCGGGTTGGGGCCCGGGTGGCGCCGCTCCCAGCTGCCTCCACCTCCCGCCTGCCTCCGCTCCCAGCTGCCGCCCGGCTTGCCCGCGGCGCCGCCGCCGCCGCCGCCGCCGCCGCCGTGTCGCCGCTCCCAGCTGCCGCTGAACGTCTGCCGCCGCTC